ACACAGTGCCTGTTTACAAGACTGCAAAAGAAGTCAACATCATTCTTAACATATGACGTGTCATTTTCGGAACTTAGTCAGCAAAGAAGCAGAAGAAAACAGGTATACAGTAACACCGTGTATTAACATCTTGTGCTCTGCAGCTTGAGAGGGCCAGCAGCCAGAGAGCTGGCACAAATAACGACTGGTCCCTGAGAGCTGCAACCTGCCTGAATGTGTGTATTAAAAGCACCACTGCAGCTGTAATCTATGTTGCTCTCCACGCTGACACACTCCCAGCGAGCGCGGGGCAGTCCCCCAGCCTTTACTTTCGCCTCACTGCACATCTGACCCACTTTTGTGCGCTCTGAACCAGCTCACATGAGTTCACCAAATATACTGTAACCCCACCCCTGAGGCCCAAGGGAGATTTGATATCATATGATGATGTCGCTGCCAGCTGCTGTGGGTGGGTGGGCAGGGGAGTGCAGGGCGTTGATTCTACATGAAAAATATGTTCTGTAGGTCATTGAAATTGTGAATAAACTACTGCGGATTGTTTGACCAAAGCAGTAAAAACCTTTCATGTCAAAATGTCCTCGCTTTTTTCCATCCAGGTGTGCAGGATTTTTCTCTCCCTCTCTCCATCACTGCAGTTGCAAGCACTGATAGGCAGTGATAGCTCTTCGCCTGTAACACCCTGAGAGCTCATTTATAATTCATAATATAGTTGCTATAATATTTCTATTCTATTCTATTAGATTTAAGCCCTGTGATGTTGTAGTAGCCCCTATTAGAAATTAAGTACTAAACAAAAACAAGCAGGGTAAAATCTTCTTCTGCTATTCCAATTCTGAGCTGAAATGTCCCCAAGCGCATTCAACAGAGTTTAAGGGGAAATGAGCCAAGGCTGCAGGCCAGTCATTTATCTTTTCTTGGTTTAAAAGTTCAGATATTTTACCTCTGTCCTCCTCAACAGCAGCTTTAACACATCACTTCAAAAGCGACATATTTAAAGTGAAAATAAGCGCACACCCCCCTCTGCCCTGTGGTAACAAAAAGCCAGAAACGCACTATCGCGCCACGCACACGCGCTGCCGGCCGACCAATTAGAAAACCACTTCAAAAGGCTCCGACGCCGGGCTGCGGGGCGCTGCGGTAACCATGGTGACCGGAGCTGTGACGTGCAGCACGTGCGGACGGAGACCACCAATCGATGAATTGATGAGTTAAACGATCGGCACGCGACAAGTGCGCCGGCGCAAAACAGCAGAAAAAGCTTCTACGGGTAATTACGTCTACAGCGGAAATATGAGAAGAAAACTGGAGTGAAAATGTAGATTCTGATTCTGTTCTGCTACAAGCTTTAACATGACCACCACAGACACACAGAGACAAACGGAGCTGTCCACTCCAGTGTAAAATTAATGAAGACTAACGTCCATGTGATATTGTAAGTCAGAGTTAGACAACGACACACTCACTAATAATTCTTACTCATGTTCATCATTCATTCATCATTCTAGCGCTGCAAGAAAACTCGAAGAATATCATGGAAATATTACAGGTTTTTTACCTCTGCGGGGAGCCGGCTTGTCATCCTTGGTGGGAATCCAAATCTTTTGGATCCTGTTCTGGGTCAGCTCTCTGGGCATTCCTCTAGGACTGAAGAGCCGCACAGTAACACGGAAACCGAGCCGCTTAGATCCCGGGGACAGAGGACCAAAAATAGGTGGCTGTTGGATCAGGAGCCTCCTCCGTTCAGACGGAATGAACCGGGCTGTTCAGAAAGTCTACAGAGCACGTTGAGCCGGGCTAATCTGCCGGTCTGCGCCAAGCATCCGCTATTTAACCCCGCCCGGCCGGGAAGCAACGTGACTGCTGTGACGAAATAGACATACGCACACATCTCCTCACACACACAGTCAGCCACAGCGCCTCTCTGTGGTAAACTCTATTAGGATGATCATTTACATGTAGTGTAGGAGCCTACTATTGGTAGGCGTTTAGTTTTCACTAATAGTTCTTAAACAAAGGCTGTGTGTTTATTACATTTCTCCTGCATGCGCACCTGGTTCATATTCGATATATAAATTATTGCTCTCTCTTTATGTATTTTAACTGGCTGATTTTTCAAACATTTCTTAGAATCTTTGTTGCTTGTTCATATCATTTAATAAGGGGTTGCAGGAGTAGCATTAATGTACTTATTTAATGATTTTCATGTGGCCTAAGCAGCTTATTGTATAGCTTTTGAATCTAATGTAATTTCTCATTGTTTTATATAGTTTTTTATCTGTTTCATACCACGTTGGACAGTTTTACACTCGTATAGCCTATTGCTGTAACATGTGAATTTAATTATAAGTAATAATATTTAGTCTTCTTAATATTATTATTATTACACTCTTGTATTGCTGTAAAGTGAATTTCCCCTCTGGCGAAAAATAAAGCTTATGTTATCGTATTTAATGTATTTTCTAAATGGACCTTTCTTTATTAAATCATTAGCAGTTGAATAAAAGTGACGGTTGTTTGTAATATAGCCTTATTAATGTACCTTCGTCATTAGATTGTTTATTGCAACGAGACACTATTCCTCTGATACGAACTGGCTATTAAAAAAAAAAGACAATTGAATGGTGGAAACCGGACCTTAAACATTTTCTCCACTTTCTTCACGGCCGCCTGCTTCTGCAACATGAGCTCCGCTGTAGGTCCCTCAGTCTGAGATGAAAGCTGGAGGAAACGTGCAGAGTCGCACATCACCTCAATCTGCTTCCTCACACTGGGCTGTCCCATTGAGTCATAAAGGGTGTGATTATATGTATATAGTGATTTGGTGTATACTTCAAAAAGCCCAAATTGACCACATTTAAGTGAAAAAAAGAAGGGACAGGCTGTGAAACCAGACTACCTTGATTAATTAGATTAAAATAAGCACAGTAAAATAAATATAGTAGATTATTATGTTTGATTGATAGCTGAGGGACTTGGAGCTTTTATGATCTGTAAAATTATATATAGCTACTCCACTTTCTCCAAAAATGCTTATAAAGAGTGTATCTCATCAAACTTATTATATTTATGTCATTATTTTTTATCATAATTTTTAACCAACTTAATATAATTATTTCTAATTTAAAGTGTATGTATGCTGCTTTATGCAGCATCTGGGCAGAGAAATAAATACTTCTCAACTCACTGTGTATCTGACCACTATAAGGAGATTCTCATACACACACACACACACACCATCTCATCACACTATTATTATTATTATTATTGCCAGTGGCTCAGTGGGGTCACCAGCTTGTCATGGTGGTGAGGCTTATGTGAATTTCAATGACCCTAGAGCTATGTCGGCCAGAGATTTTAGGCTCCTGGTTGGGACACATGCGAATAGGTTGAAGGGTGGGAACCAGACAAAGAATGACCCCCCAACCCCCCATCCAGGTTGGGGGTTGGGGTGTCATTCTTTGTCTGGTTCCCATCATAAAAAAATATTTATTACAGAAACCAGAAGCAGTGGCTTGCAGTGCATCTATATGATTTCTGACCTTCTCATGACTTTGTTCTGTTTGCACGTGCAGCTTTTGCTTTTTAATGTTCTGTGTTACCCGCGACTGTATAGGGGAAAATTTCCTCATATATATTATATTAGTTTTCTATCTACAAGAGTATGATATTGCTACAGTGTGTGAGGATTTACAGGAAATTATGTCTGCACTGTAAAAAAATTTATTTATAAATATTTTAGCAGCTACTGCAGTTCTTCAACCTTTTACAGTGTACTGAAATTCCTCTGTTGCCTCAATTTGGACTTGTCTTTTGACAAGTCACTGACCTCTCTCCAGCCTCTCCCTCAAAAACATCTTTATGGCACACCAAGTGATATCCTGTTTATTTAATGGAGTTTATTAATCAGAGTGACACTCTTTCCTGTTGACCACCTGAAGAAAGGGCAGCTGCGAGACAAAAGAGAACAGCGGTATAGTTGTGATATTTATGTGTTGAACATCCTCCCCAAACAGTAGGTGTGACTGTAGATAGTTATTTTCTTAGACACAAGAAAAATAAAAAAAACTTTCTTTATGACTCAAAAGATTCGATGTGTCACTGCCTGGACTGAACATGTTCGGGTAGAGCAACTGTGGTTGTGAAACCAATATGGGTTGTTTGTCATGATAGTGAAACACTTTTAAATCTTTGTCTGATTAAAAAAAAGTTCATAATAATGTCTTTTTGTTTTCTTCAGTATGCAAACAAGAGACGACGGCCTTGGTTTAATTTTTCACATATATTGCAAATGAGTTTGTTTTAGTATTTTCTCAGGAGGATAAACTACTTATGTCTGTCAATTAGCGTCAAGTCATACAGCCAATTGCATAACCTTGTGCACATTCACGCTTTCATCATCAGTGTGGTTCTTACAAATAAAACACATACACTGCTATTTCTACTCGAGCAGGATATTTAAGTCTCTCCATAGCCTGTCGAACGTCTGTTCAAATGGGTCTCGCTTGTCGTTTCTGTTTTCATCCAACCTGTTTCCCTGATCTGAATTAAACCTGCTCCGGTGGGATCCTTCCTGAAGCGTTTCACTGGAACCTCCAGGGCCCTGTTAGTGCACTTACATAAGTTCTGAATGAGGCTGGGGCTGTGTTCATCGTCCCAGTCCCTTTCCCATAATCCATCAGGGCTAAGTTAAGACTATGGGGCCCTGGGGATGTGTGAACACTACTGTGGAACAAGTTACCTCAGATGAAATTCAGAGGGAAAACTAGGCTTCTTGGATATTATGAGCTGTTCCACAACAGGATGTGGACAAGTTTTGAGTTTCATTTATGATTTTAATAGGAAGTGTTTATACCAGGGTTATATATTTAACATTCTGAAGCTGAAAAACAACTGCAGTCCAGTCAGCATGACTAGGCTGATTTCCAATACTACATTTCAGAGAAAAAGTAGCAATATTCAGAAGAAAAAAAACACAACAGCATGGATTAATGATACATGAATAAAAGAAAACAGTACACATATACCCTTTATTTTGTCTTGACATAAAGGTATTTTTCATCACAGGAAAAAAAATACATCAATACATACAGACACATCACTGCCATCCAGGAATCATTAAAAAAAGTTTATTTACAAATAGGAAGATGACTGATATTCATTCTGTCTGTCAGTGCCCGGAAAACATCAGACCTGCTCGCCAAGATCCAAAACACGAAACTTGTCTAGATTGTAGAAGCAGGCCTTGACGACTCGCCCGCCGAAATAACGTCCATTCAGGTCTACCACAGCTGCAGAGGAGAGAGACGGTTAAAAGATTCCTGTATGTTTTAAGACATACAACAATACTCAACTTGGAAGAATAATTGGTGTCTGACACTGGTTTTCCATAAAAAAGTTTAATTACTTCATTAAAAATTCTTAAAATTACATCTAGTCCATCTCCATCAGTGAAAAACTAGTATATCTACTATAAATTCTGACATAAATTCCTCTCATATGTTCACGTAACTGAGATTTCAGCAGGCGCATGTAAAAACAGTCCAGCTCACTGCGGCTGCTCCGTCCTGTTTCACTACTTCCTGCAATATATTTCAAACTGATCTACTGTCAACAAACATCAAAAATGATGTCTATTTTGTTGATGCATTTTTGATGAACTGTAGCATTCACATATTGCATTTCCTGTGACGACTTCCAAATAAAAGTCAGCTCGTGTTTCCCCAGCTAAAGTCTTTAAAGGTGACGCTGCAGCAGCATGAAAATGTTCGGTCTGCATTAGCTGAAGCTTCATACAGCATTTTTTCCAAGAATGTCGCCACAGACACAGTTTGTAACACCGCGAGTGGAAGAGCTTTAATCAACAGGACAATCACCATTGTGTGACCTCATTAAGCTATTCTGACTTACAGACATTATCATTGTTTTATTGCCCAGCCCTACTACCTCAGTGTCCCTGATTTATACGTTTTCTGTGACTCTTCTACGATTCACTTCTCACTGTGTGGTTGTTGAACAATGGTAAAAGTCTCTTGTTCTTTTGGTTTCATTCTTCAGTATTACCATAGCCCTAGTTTCTGGACATATTTGAATGTGATGTCTCATCAGTTATCCAAATGAAGAAGAGAAACACACCAAACTAAATGAAGCCAGATTTGTTTTAAACAATTCACCCGTTTCATGGTGGATAAATATGACATCACTGTGGCTTCCCATGACTGTCACCTGTCTGTGCCTACAGAGACAGCAGACAGTACGCTGTCCTATAGTTCACACACACTTTAAAAAGGACAGGAAGTGTTCATTCTGTCCTGTCTGACAGCGTTAACCTTATTAATGATCTGAACAACCTCATATCGTTGCATCATCTATAGAAATAGATCACTCAGTGTGAAACAATTCCTAATGGCTGAAGCCCTCCGTATCATTCTTCGAGTGTCTGTCCCGCTTTCTGAGAGCGATGATGTAAGCGCGGCCGCAGTGGGACTGCTGGGTTGCTGGGGCACATATGATGTAAAACCACAGGGAGCAGAGTCTTACCTTCTTTCTGATCTAGGCCAACCCATTTAGAATGGGACACACTTTCACCCACACTATTAGAGCAGTTATACAATGGTAGGAAGAAAGTGATGCAATTACATAAAGTTGATCGCCCACCCAAAAACAGCTGATAAATATTGAAATGCCATTCTAATTTCAAAATGAGGTGTCAGCAAAGGTCAGGATTTTGACATTTAACCCATTCTGAGGCAAGTGTTTAATGATCTGCATCGATAATTTTTCCAGGTGAGTTCAGGCTTTAAAAAATGTTAGGGACGTTGAACTATCTCTTTCAGGTTTGTGCACATAAGACAACTAAATACTGACCTTTGATGGCCGACTCCACCCTCTCAAACTCCAGAAATATCCTGACAGCTTCGTCATCTAGCACCTCTGCAATCTGAGAAGCAGAAAGTGCATCCATTTTGTTTGTGATTGTCCTGTTTGATGCAAGAATTCACTTCACACTCTGTAATTCTCATCTCTCACCTCGAAAATGACACATTTAACCACTTTGCCATATTTCTCGCACTCTTCTTTCGTCTCTCCCTCCAGGTCTTCGTCCACCTCCCCTCGGCCCACCATGTTCTACAAAACAGAAACACAGACATTAGGCTCACTTGGACAGGACAATGGAAGATAACGAAATCTGATGTAACCGTTTAACAAAGCCTGCTTTCAAACCGCAACTACAAGGTCTTCTATTGTCTCCATTTTCTAACCTCAAACTAATTTCGAGAATTGGACTGAGAATGAGTTGTATTTTTTTCTGTGCTTAAATGTGGAACGTAAGGTTTGTGAGATATTCGCTTAAGCAAAAGTCCAGATCTCATCACTAAGACACAATGATACTGATGCAAAACAGCATTTAAAAAACACACACACACACACACACACACACACACATACCCTCAGCAGGACCACTTTGGTTGGGTTTTTGAGGATCTCTGTGAGCGGGTTGGCCTCTGATTTCTTGGAAGAATCAGCTGGTTGGATGGAAACAGACAAAGTTCACTTTTTTTCACCTCAAAAAATATTTACAGGCTGCTTGTGAGCTGGATGGAGCAACTGAAGGCATGCAACAATACAGGTTATCGTATTGTATTGAGCTTGATTCAATATGCGTGATACATGAAGCAATTCAGGACAAAGACTGTTCAAAAGACTGTTCTGTGTTTGCTGAGCCGATGTGATATCCACCTTTTCTGTCACGCCTGGCTGTTTTAGTGATATTTTAAAGTTCTGCTTTTATTGTGTTATGCATGCTGCTGAGAAAACACTCAATTGCAACACCATTGTTAGTATTCCTATAAAATTGACTGACTGTTGGATAAATGTCTTACATCAGTGCTGCTGATAAAAAAAACACATTGTTTAATATCGGTAACACATAAAACTAGCGGAGGAAACCTTTTAAAAGTTTTAAATCTTTAAAGTAGGGCTGGACAATAAAACAATAACAATAATTATCGCAATATATGTTTTTTCAACAACAATATATTAAATGTTCAATAAATGTTTGATTTTATTCACTTGAATAATACACTAATTAGGACTAATTTTTTTATTAAGATTTTTATTTTGTTGAGGAAAAAGGACTGATAAAAGCTTTTACTTAATTTTACTCATGCATATCACAAAGATTTTATCATAATTGTTTTGAATGTTCTACCTCAGATTAGTGAAGTGATCCACTGTTTGGCCTCAAGTAATGACTATAAAAAAAGAGTTTCAAACCACAATAACCACCAGGTTTCTTTAACTTTCACTCAGGAGCAAAAATCAGCCCTTAAACTCAAAAGAATTAACGATTTGGTACTTATCGTGATAATTATCGATATCGAAAGAAATGAAACTTTTTATCGTGATAACATTTTTGCCCATATCGTCCAGCCCTACTTTAAAGCCAAAGTTCGACATTTTCGGGAAATTCGAATATTTGTGTTAAATGATAAGATTGGTACCAATTTCATGTCTATATGGTAATTATGAAGCTACAGCTTACAGCTGGTTAACTTATTTGGATAATACCAGGCGGAAGCAGCTAGCCTGTCTCAAAGTAACAAAATCCACTGACCAGCACTAAAGCTCACAAATTAACACACATCTTGCTTGCGTATTCTGTCCAAAAAAAGTATAAAATGAAATTTTTTTGTTTTACAAAGGGTGTGTGCTATACTGTTTTTTGGCTCTGAGCATTGGCCAGACAACCAGCGAGGAAGCTAGGGAGTTACTGTGCCTCGCCAAGAAGAGGTCTGGATCATAACACACTGTAAGCAAATTGATGTTTTTACATGTTAAAATAAGCTTTAGGTTAGTTGGTAGGAGAATCTAATTTTTCTGCCAGATATTGCGATTCCAAAGTTTTACTGAAGTTCAATATTCACTGCAGCAGCAGCACAGAGCAGATGAACCGGGCAGGAAGTAAGACAGAACTGCATAGCGGATCTGGTTGATTTGCAAAATAAAACACCCTTTGCAGACTCTTGATCGTACATAAACAATAAACACAGTTAAAATAGACAAAAAAAGAAACAATTTAACTATGTAGCCTACTTAACCATGGTAGAAGCACAAAAATCATGGAAAACTGAACAAATAATCAAAATCTGAATGAGTCATCAAACTCACATGGGCAAAACTCTCTTATTCTGAAATGCTCCATGTAGATATGAAATGTTAGGCTGCACAGAGCAGAACGGAACGCGCTCACAGAGAGCTGTTATCCGTAGTTGAAGCACACAAAATGAAAAATTAACAACACGTTAACGTGTAGACTAAATGCTCTGCTGCTGAAACACTTCAGAGTGAGTTGAAGCCGGACAAAACCGCGACAAAGCCACTGCCTGTGTAACTTCGGCTGACGCCATTATCCCACGTTTTCCTCCAGTTTTGTTTGTTATTGTAAAATGCACACGCCCTGTGCCCGTCTGATCGGTGAGTAGGACCGTAACAGGAGGCGCATGGCGTTTGTAATTGGCGAGCATAACTGTCACACAAGGATGACAACGTAATGAATTTGTAACTGCATGACTATTTAAAACGGGTCAGATGTTTAATTAACCTACATTTTAATCCCCATCTTCACGAGTAGCTAATCGCGTTCTTTCAAATCGCAATTTCGATTTGAAAACGATTAATCGTTCAGCCCTAGTGTATAAATTACAAGCACACATCCAGCAGAAAACCATGCAAAACTATTCTACTCATTGCCACGGCAATTCTTCATACAAACTTATTTGGTTTTCAAGATTTGGGAAGCACTTTTAACTTTCAACAGACACAAAGCATCACTGCTTTCAATTTGGTAACAGTGAGTGACAACAGATAAACACATGCGCGCACACACAATAAGAATAAAGACGAGCAGGACAGTACACTCTGCATAATGGGAGAGAGGAAATGGTAGTGAAGGCTAACCTGCAGAGCCTCCGCCTGAAGTTTCAGCAGCACCTGATTGGCTGGACCCTGCTGCTCATACACACGCACACACACACACACGCACACGCACACACACAATGAAAAAGTCATGCACACAAAGTCACAATAAAACATCTTACTGATCCTAGAAAAGATCAAATCAACAAAAATAAGTTCTGGAGATGACACAAGCAAAGGTCAGTTCATGCAAAGTGAAAAGTTAAAAAAGGAAAACAGTGTGCGGCATGTATGGCATTGATCACGAGAGGAGAATGTTTTCTGCGAAGAAAAAAAACAAAAACAAAAAAAACTCCAACAAAAGCACAAAGGTGGTACTTACGTTTTTCTGCAGCATCGCCTATGATGATCTTGCCACCTCTCTTGCTGGTCTTCTCCACAGACAGCGCCGTGCTGAGGCCCTGCTCGTGCTTCCCCAGGCCCTGGCCTTCTTTGAAGCCGTACTTCTGCATGATCTTATGGGCCACCGTACCTCTGTGGGAGTAGATCGGGAGGACAAACTTTTGGATTTAAAAAGAATCATTTGTTGTAGTTGACAGTTTATACGCTGTGATGGTAGAATCTTCGTGTCTCTGTGATATATTTGGGGCGGGCTATGTAGCAATTCAGGGCTGGACTCTTTGCGTGATCTCGCCAATCCAGCTGCCTCGCAAAGTAACATGATTTGAACCACGTTCTCATGTACAGTAATACACACCTAAGATGGTTTGCCAAATTTTCTGTTATTTTTATATTCCACTAGAACTAAATTACATTTATTAAACAAAAACATAAATTGCCCGCCTGCTGTGTGTGTGTATATGTGTGCATGTCCTACGCACCCCATGTTGGCCAGGAAGGAGCTGGTTGGTCCGGGCGGTGAACGTGGCCGGTCAGTGTCCTCATACATAGGTGGAGGGATGGCAGCCTTGGAGCCTCTGGCAGGACGACCTTCATCCTCGTAGGAAAATGCAGAGGAGCCTAAAAACACAGAAAAACACAACCATTACTGACATGTAGTGCTGCACAGAGGAGCACAAGCACATTAAATTTTTAGTCAGATTTACTGTTGTCAGCCAGAATAAAATACATATTTTACACTGGTATTCTGTGTGTGTGTGTGAGATCATGTAGACGTTGCTGCTGTGGTCATCACTATTTCACGCAGTGATCCAGATAGTAAAAAAAAAATCTACTTTGTCATGTGTTCCACAAGTTCCATGTATGTTTAACTCTTACATGTTATGTTGTGACATTTCAAGGACCAAAACAAAGCTCCACTGAAAACGTGGGTCCACAAGCTTCACTGTCCCCCAGCTAACCAAATCTAGGATAATTCATCTCCCTCTGGTTTCATACAGGATTACCATGAAGCTCACTGTTGTTCATGTTCCGTTTTTCCTCAAATTAGTCAGCAGTTTAAAACACAGGCCATGAGGCCCTGTTCTTTTCCTCCTGCCATTACTATGTCTTTATTCTCTTGATGTTTCAAATTAACAGACTTACTGTCCACAAGTGAAGAAGGAGGGGCAATAGCTACTCCACCCATACCTGAGAAAGAGAAAGAGAAAGAGGGGAGGATGCATCACATTACAGAAGTAAAGTTTATTGTTTTGATTGAAACATGACTGTGATCCACAGCTGCTACATTTGTCTCTAATCAGATATTGTGCTTCTGTTTTTCCATGTTGTCATCAAATGCAAATACATTTGATATATCTTTACTTCTCCTATAAATCAGATGATGACTGAAGTCATCTGGGAAAAGGTGGCCTTCAGGCTTTAGTTCTGACTCAAAGAGGGAATTACTGTTTCAATTATTTTTTGAATTTCCTTCCATTTTCGGAGATATGTTTTAATTGGCATTAAAGGATCTTTTTAGTCAGAGTCGAGATGTTGATGTTGCACTAGTGAAAAACAATAAAACATGAAAACCACAGAGGATGGTGAATATCTCTACAGGTCACTCTATATGTAAGCCAAATGGGGTTTAAAATACTCACTTCGTTTCCTCCGCTCTTTCTCGTAGTCATCCTCCTCATCTGAGTCGCCCTCTTCTGCAGGGAAACGAGAGAAACCACTTGGAGCCCCGCCATCGTTCCTGTCTTTCCTCTTCCTGCAACACCACAAGATTTAAACAGGAGTCCTGTGTTCCTATAAATCTTTAATACGCGACGCAAATTAATATTACATGACAAATATCTAGGTTTGGTCCCATGTTGTAAAGATCCCCCAGGACACTGAATAGTAAAACAAGAATGAGTGAACTGGTTTATTTTGTATTGTTTTTTTAAGTAGAAGAATAGATCATTTTCATTTTTGCCTCCTAGATTATAGTGTATTCCCTGCTGCTACGTTTATCACTTGGTGAGCTTAGTAAACAAGCATGGCAGTACTTTTCCCTCTCCTCGATCTCCTTCTGACGCTCCTGCTCTCTCTGCCGTTGCCGTTCTTCTCGGTGCCGCTTCACCACCTTCTCGTAGTCGTTGGGGAACATTGGATCGTACTCGTCTGCCAACGGGATCAGCACATCACCGGAGGAGAAACCACTGGGCACAGCGTCCTGAAACACACACGCGTGGACACACACAGGAAAAGTGAAATCATGTTTCTGCTACGATGAAGATGCTGTCATGAGTGGGATCAGGGGTGGGATTTAGGTCTTGTTGCAAAAGACGGTATGGAAGGATATTCCATATGTTCACTGCTATAGGCACTAGCTTCACTTAGCACTGCAAGCAGAGCCATGTGGAAAAATCCAAAGACTGTATATAAAAAGCAAAAACTCTTTTTCATCTATCAGGATCACTGATCTCCTTTTTCAATCGTCACTGTGTGTCACAAAACTATGATGTCCCCTTCCTTAAACACGTCACCATGATGTGACAAAGTGCCTTACGGACAATCCAGATGCTATTATCAGAGGTTTCGGGAGACAGTGCAGCTGCTGTGGGTATCAGCACAGAGGCATCAGGGCTGTTGATGATGTTGATGATATTTCTTTAAAATAGGAACATTGTTCCTAAAAGTGTTTTGAAGCCTGCAAATGCCCTTCTACAGGTTCGTTCTGTTGACCTGTGCTGTGCTGGGGAAGTAGTGAGTGCATCTCTGCATGCTCTGGGCGAGACTTTGACATAGTCAACCCTGCTCCAGCAGTTAAAAGAAAGAGGACAATGTTTTGGTCTGTCCACTGTAGGTTAAGTCCAAGACTACATGACTCCTAGCTAGGCTCTGAAGAGAGCTCTTCTCAATATTTTGGACAGAGCCATCCAGCTGCAATCCTGATCTCATGAAAGCAGTGAACAGCTTTCTTACTAAAGCTCCTTCTTTTCTGGATGTTGCCGTGTTAAGTCCCTGGCAATACTGCTCATCTAAGCCACCAGACTGAAAAACAGTCATTTTACCTCTTTAGTCTACCGTTGCCTCGATCAGTTAGTTTGTTTGTGTTATTGTGTCACTTTAGTGTTTTTGAACCTTAAAATAAAAACATGGTGGCTTGATGAGAGCAATATGGTGACTGTGTCTGGTTAAACTAAAAAAATGTCTCTCTCTGTAGGGATCCTTTCAATAATGTTGTCAGACACAATCTGAGCCTGTCAGTGGCAAAAACAAGCACTTTTGTGAACGCGCAATTGCCTGCAAGGATTACGTTTCAGCTCTGTTTCGCTGCGGCCAACTGCAGCGCGCTCACTCAACACCGGACCAATTTCAAAAATATGTGTGTGTTTTAACTTTACTGATTATTATTTTTAATATACCAGTCCCTGTAAGAATAGATAACAGATAGATCAAAACATAAAGTTGTCCTCCTATAAGAGGGGAAGGAGGTGGGTTGGCCTACAAAAAAAAAACATCCCTGGGGCACTCAACACAGCAGTAGTTGGTGACCAATGAACATCTTTGTGGCGCTGTATCACAACTCCACACACAGCTCTGCATCATGTTATAAACATTACGCATTAACCTTTTCACTCTGCTTATTAGACCAAGATCCAGCTTAATCAAATCAAGAGAAAAAAAACCCAAAAAAGCAGCTTGAAATATGGCTGTGCAATATGTCAATATTCAATAATTATCACAATGAATGTCAAATCATTATTTCTCTCAAGTTAAAAGGCTGATTTTTGCCCCAAATGAAAATTGAAGAACCAGATGTTTAATTGTGTGGTTAATCTTTTCTTTATGGTCAAGGTTCTTTACGTGTCAAACACTTGATGCCAAACAGTATATCACTTAACATATCTGAGGTATAACATTTAAAACAATTATGATTCAATATTTTTTCAAATAATATAAGTAACTTTCTTTTCTGTACCTTTTCCTCAACTAAATAAATATCTTAATAGAAAAATTAAGTGCTAATTCGTTCATGATTCTAATGAATTTAATCCAATATCTATTGACGATATACTGAACAATTGTTTACTGTTATTGAGGGAAATTATATTGCAATAATTATCATTATTATTTTCTTGCCCAGCCCTATTTGAAACATTCTAAGGATTTCATAAACACCGATGACAAAGTCCACTAAATAAGACTGACCTTGATTCCAGCGGCAGCATGTGGAGGAGTGTCTGTGATCTGTCTGTCATCACTGGAGCCACCTCTCTTCAGATCAATGACCGGAGCCAACACTGTGGTCTGCTTCATCCGCTGGGTCTACACACACACACAAAAACAAAATCACTGAATATGTACACATTGTGTTTACAGTGCTTCCTTGTTGTAATTGTTCATTCTGATGACGTTTTAACATTAATGTAAATCACATTTGCATTTAATTTCCAGCTTGTGTGTTTACGTTACTCTATGTTGTTTGTCATCTTTACTTTATATGCACTCTATTCTGTCACCAGTATCATCAAGTATATTCTCTGTTAAGATTTGTTTATCCTTCACAATATGCCACGTATATATGATCTGTGTAAGGTTGCTGTACTTGTATTGCCTGTGTCTGTTACCTTGGCCTGTGTCAGAGCCGCCTTCTTCACCTTCAGCTGGGACTGCAGCAGCTTGAAGTTCTTGGACCATCCTTCGGTCTTGGTGTCGTTGGCAGCCACACCGAGGTCATCGTACAACGACATTGCTGCCCGTCAGTACTTCTGTTTCCTACAGACACAGGGACAAGTTTCATTTATTATAAACCTGCTTGGCAAGCATCATATCGTTCTGCAATTACCTTAACAAGTTACTTTGATATAAATTGAGGTTGTAACATCGCAGCAGCCGCATTGAAAAGCTGGGTAATTTTTATGTAACTCTGTAACGTTTAATTATACATTAAACGCAATATTACGAAATCCTTTAAACTAGGTAACGTTACACATTTAGTCGCTTATGTTAGGAAACTTACGTTAGCTTAACGTTAAAGCCCAGCAGACCAGGAGAAACAGTCTGTTAATTTAGCTAACGTTAGCTAATGCTAACTTAGATAACTGTCTGCTCCTCAACAAATTATGATAAAAACAAACACATTACAATAGCTCTTTTCAACCTACCGGTTTTAGAAAAACTTACACTAACTAACGTTAAATGTAAGTTAAGTGCCTATTACATAAAAAGTGTTAGCGGCACGTTAGGTGCCATGGATATTCCTCGCTGAATGAGGCGGAAGTAGTAGCACAACAACAAAACTACGCGCGACATTTTCTGCTCTTGCTCCACGTAGCGGCTGGATGACTATTGTCGCCAGTGTACTAAAGAGTAGAAGAAACTGCTTTTTTAACAACCGGCGTTAGATGGCGCTGCGGTAGCGCTGTCCGCATTTTGGACCGATAACGTCATTTCAGATTAGAGGAACTATAACAAATATCATTCTGTACCAGCAAACACAACTGTGTGATTACCTTGGTACAGTGCTAGTAAACAGAGCTGAACTGTTGATAACAAATAATGACATTCTGCAGCAATTATTAAGTTACGATGGTGTTGTTCTCAATTGCTACCAAAACGAAATAATACTATTTGAAATAAAATGGGTCTATACTTCGTTTATTCCGCACTGCAGCATCTCATAATGGGCAGGCTGGAGTACACAAACTTGGCTTTGTCAAGTAATACAGTAAGAATGCCACACACATACAAAAACAAAGCCTGCATGCTATCTGTAGACCATGTGCTCCACCCCACGACACACCCCGCCCATATTACGTCGGTTATTTGAAAGCGAAAGTTCCGCCAGAGGGAAAACTGCTGCAGAATAGGACGTCGAAGATGGCCATACCGGTCGTTGTTTACTTGGCAAACATGTTATAGATATCCACAGAGCTGTCAGATGGATCGGAGTCCCCGCTTACTCTCTTTCTGCGTTATGGTGACCTGTCTGATCGGAGCTGCGCGCTGTTCCAACCCCGGTAGGTGCAAAATAAAATCACCACACTTTACATATAACATTCAGAACTCCCTTTTAAAAATCGCCAGTTTTACTCATAGACTGTATATAAAAAAGGTTTTACTCCAGGGGTATGATGTGGTGATTTAGTCCAAACTAGAAAATTAAAAATATGGTTTACTTTTTATTATTGTTATTTTCCTAACGTATGGAGGACTGAAACGGCCAAAATAAAATAAAAAATGACAAAAATGCAACAAAAATAATATAAAATAAATGTAGGTATAAATTAATTCATTTCTTATTTTTACATTTCTTTATGCAGCTCCACTTCATGGCGCAAATGTTACTGTAAAAATTTTACTTTTCCCAGTAAGTAGTACTGTAAGGGATTACTATTTCCAAAACAGTAACAATATTACAGTTACTAATCCAAGTAAGCTGCATTACTGTGTTACCAGAACACTATTAACCAATAAGCTAAAGAAAGAATGGAGAAGGAGGGAGAGAGGTGTTTTTTAGACAGCTGTAAGAATTGTCATTATTGTGTGACTGTCCAAAGAACATTGTCGTCTGTTGTAAACTTTGTGTAAACTTTTTTTTTTTTTTTTTTTAAACCTGTCCTGACCAGCAGCCTGGTATAGAGTATAATGACCTGGATACCATATTGTGCCAGACAGATTTTACTTTAACAAGAGAGTATTAAAATACTCCTTTGTCTGTTTTATTATTTATTTAATTATGTATTGATTTGTCACCGGGCGGACAGGGGGGCAGACACGGGGATGGGGGGGCACAAACAGACAGCACAGAGAAAGGACAACACCTGTAAGAGAAGGGAGAAAGGGGGATGGAAGGTGGGGACAACAGGGAAAAGCTGTGGGAAACACCAATTGCAGAAAGCAACGAAACCTGCAATAGAACAGAGAGGGGGGAGGAGGAGAAAACAACAACAAACAGACAAAAACAAAAACAAACAATAAAAATAATAATAATAGTAAAAGACAACCAGCCGAACAGCAGCAATGAACAGCTGACATAGTAAGACAACTAAGAGAAAAATGAAAACAAGAAACAGTCACACACACTAAATAAGCAACACAGCACAGCCACGAGAGCTGGAATAATAATTAATTTAAATAAGTAACTGAAAGAAAAGCATCAGGAATAATTCTACCAGGGACAACCTAAATTTGTTTGTGTCTATGTGTGAGACTGATTGTGTCTGTGTGCGTGTGGGTGAATGTGACTGTACATGTGTGTGCGCATAAGCATGTTAAAGAATGTAGTTGTTAGTGAGAGTGGGGCGCCACGACTGTGCCACACTTACCCCAGCAACAGGCAGGCAAGAACCCCAGTAGCCAATAGGGGTGGGAGAAAGAAAAAGAATAAATCAATCAAAAAAATAAAAAACAAAAGACTCCCATATGCACCGTGATGCAAACGCAGTAGACCCTGAGCCAAATGCCAGTTGACAACGTAATGCCGATGGAACGCAAAAAGCGTAACCACACAGAGAGTGGCGTTAGGCAAAGTTGGGTGTTTTGTAAAAGCACAGAATATCGCTCTTATAAATGCATGTGCAGAAAAACAGTACTTCAAAAGTCGGGAGATACTTGCTTTATTTTTTTTAAATCTCAGCCTGTGGTGTTAAGAAACGTTACTGCTTTTATGAATATGCTATTAGTTTAAAAGTCGGGGACACTTGCTTTGTTTTTTATTATTTTTAAATAATTACTTTTAACACCCAGTATAAAGTAAAGTAATATTACCTTTTTAAGGAGTAAAAAGTTACTTATTACAATTTCTGAGTAACTTGCCCAATGCTGGTCATGGGTATACTTTTTTCCTATTGGTTGATCAACTTTGTGCACTGATCAATTATACTAGCTCCCGCACATTGTTCTTTTCCGAATCTGATGATGGAAGTAGCTAACGAGATCTACATCTCTAGAGTTGCACATGAGCAGTACCGATTAGGCAGTCTTTCTACATGGCTAATGGGTCTTCAACTGAAGAAGAAAGAAGCCAGCTTGTTTTTCCCCCAACTTGTCAATTGTTTTTCCAACCTACTCCATGCTCACCTGGGTCCCACTAAATATGACAGCAGATATATTGGGCACTGAATTTGAGTGATGGCAGCGTCAGTTAGTGGCTACTTTAACAATATGTAAAACTAATGCTATCCATCAAAAAACTCCGTAAATCACGTTTGTTGTAAATCAGAAAGTTGAGGCACAGCAGCTAGAGGACATCAAAGAGAAAACCTGGAAAGAAATCACAATCCTGGTTGAAGCTTGTGTAATTACCTTGACACCAGGAGCATTGCTTCAGCAAAAGCCAAGGTATAGCAATGTGACAAGATGATAAGATAAAGTTATTTATTGAAATAACAGAATGAATGAAGCAGAGTGGGTGGTAGGCAGGGCTGTACATAACAATTATTTTTCAAGTTGATTAATCTAACGATAATTTTTTTTAATTAGTCAATTAATCTAACGACTAATTTTGTGTATTCTAAAGGAAAAAATGTTGCCTATTACTCGATTCACTTATCAATTTAACCTAAATAAATATCAAAAACATGTCTAATCAATAAATCAATATTTTATTCAATCATCCTGATGAAGTTATGGCAATGAAGAAATACTTGTTTATAAAGTAAACACGATTTGCGGTGCTGCTATCAGTGCTCCGGGATACTTTCGCTTCACGTATTTGTGGACAGCAGTTGTGCTGCAGTGAAGCTATTTCCAGTTCACAGAGCTCACGGAGCAGCACGTTGTTGAGTGTCTGTCTAAAATGCTCCCAAACTTTAGACGGTTGAAGGCGAGGTAATGTGAGTCGACATATTTACGTAATAGATTACGTCGACGAATCGCCCCAGCCCTAGTGGCAGGTGAATGGGGCTGGGGTTTGGTTTGAGTCCGGGGTCCAATGTGTGCTGACATGTTTTATTTATTTTTTTAAAGATATTTTTAGGGGCTTTTTTTCCTTTTATTTGATAGGACAAGGAATAGCAAGAGGGAGACAGAAGGATAGAGGCGACACGCAGAAAGGGTCACAAGCTGGATTCAAACCCAGGCTGCTGCAGTAAGGACTCAGCCTTGTACATAGCACACACGCTCTACTAACTGAGCAAACTGTGCCTGTGAGCTGGCATGGTTTTGGCTGGCAGGGGGGTGAGGCTGGTGTTTCAAGATGTGGTCCCATGTGTTCAGTGGCGGGCAGAGTTGACTGGTTGAGACGTTTAGAGAGTGAGATCCAGTAGTGAGTTCCTGAAGAGAAGGAAATCCAGTTAGTTCAGCAGGTTAAGCAATGAGGTTAAAAGACAGATAATTAGAATAAATAATGTTTCTAATACTGAGCAGACAAGTTGGCGGGTGCATGCTCATACTGTGAATGACACTATGATCCAGTGGCGACTGGAGGGCTGGTTTGTCCTTATGAAGGTGAGGCTAATTGCCGTGATGATGAACAGGTGCGTGTGTGATTGCTGGCAGGTGAGTGAGAGCGCCAACCCATGACGATGGAGCTGGAGGAAACGCATTCATTCACAATGCCTAATGTTTGCATGTAACGCGCCACTTAGAAAGAGCAGTGAAAATGCCTTGCATTCGTTTCATTCAAATCTATTGTGCCATATATGTATCACCATCGACAGAGAGTGGAGGTCTAATTATTATTAGACATTAGTCATTTGGTTAAACTTCACAGAAAAAGAAATGCATTGAATTACATGTTAATTTCTAGTAGGTAACCAAAGGGTGTTCAAAAGCAGTGTGTCTGTCTCAGTGGCCACCGGTGTATACGAGCAAGGCATGTAAAGTCAATCCAGACTCCAATGTCGATCAACCAATAGGTGAAAAGTAGACCCCATTACACACCTTGAATGACAGCCCCCTTATTTACACAATGAAGCAGAAATGCATAAAGAAATGTAAAATGAATATATAGAAATAAGTAAGTTAAGGAAATAAATACGGGAGCGATGCAAAGGGAAAATAATATATACATAAATAAATTTAAATTTAAATGTGAAAGTAAACACAAATGGGGCGATTTATATTAATTTAAAATAGAAATATAATTTTATCTCACATTTAAATTCATAATCCCCTACATTTATTTTTTTTTAAATATTTGGTGCATTTAATGGTCTATTCATATATTTTTGATTTGGGCTGTTTCTGTTCTCCATACAACTGTACCTCTGAGAGGATCTGTGTGGCCTGCAACTGCAGTTAAACAAAACATACAGCCAACACCGTAGCAACAAAATAAACCTATGACCTTTTTGTACCCAGTTATGTTAATTATTACCTGGGGAAACAGTTGTGGGGTTAAGATTAAGGAGAACCAGGCCTCTTTCATTTACAGTGAATAAGCTGATACTTCACTTTCAGCTTCAGTTCTGCACTATGAATGTTTAGTATGAAATAATTCATATGAAAAACTATGTACCCCCATTTCTTTCCTTTTTTGAACAAGCACCATGTAGCACTAGGAAACTGTTGGATGCTTTTGAATCTTGGAACAGATTTTTAAGTGAGAAGTGCTTTGCTAACCTGTGTTCATGTGTTTTCCGATTAATCTAGGCATACACTACAAAACAGATTATGAAGTCACATAGGTAAATAAACCCTATATCAAGTAGAGCCTTACAAAAAAAGTCCAACATGACATAACAGAATCACATTCCTGGGGGACTTTTTTGTAGTTCTACCAAGGTCTTCTAGGTCTGAAACTAACAAAAAGAAACCTATGCTCAACAATTTCAGTTCTCTCTTGATGCAATCTCTGTGTGAATCTCTGCCTTCATATTGTAATTTGCAACATGATGTTTTTTTTTTCTTCCAGACAAAAGCAATTGTTGCCCAGAAATTGATCCATTTCCTCTAACTCAACCTCCAAATGGCACCAGCTGCTTCCAACTTGACAATGTTTTTCGCTACATGTGTATAAAAGGTTACCTGAGGAAAGTGGGAACCTCAAGTCTCATCAAATGCAAGCAAGAAAACAGTGTGTTACGTTGGACAAAGCCCACCCTCCAGTGTATACGTAAGATTTATTAGTTTTATGTCTTTTCATATCTCTCAAAATCTAAATCAATTTTCCAACGAAGGTTAAAATCAAGGGCAACTGGACTTGGTTGAAGATACTGGAAGACGTTTCGTCCCTCATCCAAAGGACTTCTTCAGTAGAACTGAAGACGTTTCGTCCCTCATCCAAAGGACTTCTTCAGTAGAACTGAAGACGTTTCGTCCCTCATCCAAAGGACTTCTTCAGTAGAACTGAAGAAGTCCTTTGGATGAGGGACGAAACGTCTTCCAGTATCTTCAACCAAGTCCAGTTGCCCTTGACTTTAACCTTCGTTGGATAACTATGACCTGGATGACTGAGAATCTTCATAGACATCTAAATCAATTTTGCAGAGAACAGAGCTCTTCGAGTGAAGCAGTAATGTTATACCTCTCCACTAGCGGTGGGAGAAAAAATCAATTCTTAGATCCATCACGATGCGGACGTGGAAGATTCTGAATCTGTTAACAAATGTCAAAAACTGATTATTTAAATGTTAATTGATAACGTCATGTTGATGGAATGCAAAAGGCAGAACTTATGGAAGTGCAGCGCCACCGTCTGTGGCGTGCACACAACAGAGACCAGTGTTCCCATTGTGTCCGCTGCGGAATGAATAACCACCCTACATAAATATCACGCAATCATTAACATCAATGCCCATGTAATGATTTTAACTCGCACACTGTATGAGCATGTTGACACTCAACGCCTGGCAACTCTCTGTGTATCCTGTGTGTGAGGCCCATGGTGAGGCCGAGCGAATGACAGAGGGCGAGTGGCAGAACATGATGGTGAAAGTTAGCAAGAGGAGAAAAATAGTACTAGTACATTTCCGTCTGGTAGTAAACGTGCAGTGTAGGTCACAGTGTGTCCGTCAATAAAAGTCTGCAGTTTCCCCAACTGCTGGCAAAGTGAAGGCTGTCCCCTGTATAGCATGTTTTTGTCTGTTAGCTAAATTTTTTGTAATATTAATTAGCTCAGCTGTATGTCATCACTAATTTACCAACTTGTCCAGAGTTGAGAACATCAGGTCCTGATATACATACTGTAAGTTACATCCTGATCATTATATTTCAGTTTTTCAGAGGAGTCTGACAGCTTGTTGTTAAAGAAATGAAGGGGGTGACCATGGAGGAGCTGAGGTTATATAGTAAATTAATGATGCAGACTAGTCCTTTTAAGCTAATTGGGAGTCGTTCCTTTTAGATTTTAATGCACAAATTAAATGCTTAGTAATTATCCAGATATCCTGTTTAGGAAAAAAAAAAAGATGCATCAAGATGCATGATAAATCGTTTTATAATTGCATCGCAGCCCTCTGAACCGCACTGCAAAAAGACAGAGCAGTGCTGTCATCCAGAAGTGTAAACTGAGTGCACAAGTTGTTCTGCTCAAACTGGTGTGTGGCCCAAAGAAAACACAAGTGTGTATGCTTGTAGGGCAGGTGCACACGTGGTTTGCAGCACAGAAAACCTTTTAGAATTGTCTACGACTGTATATACACACTGTCAGGCCAGCACATGCTACGTAGATCATGTGATGGTTTGAAGATTTTTTGGACCCAGAAGCAGTCTCAGACTGGGAGAAAGTGAAACAATAAAAAGGATTATTGTAAACAGAGGGAAATGTTCAGGGGGAAATGGAAATGCGTTAATCTCGTTTGGGAGTGTAGAAGTGGAGTGTAATGCAAGTCCAAGCAGGCAGAGGGAATAAATGGAGCTGGCGAGGATGTCTTGTTGTAGTGAGTGGGCAGGCAGGCAGAGCAGAGTGATCCTCAAGCACAAGAGAAAACAATTACTGACAAATCCACAAAAACAAGGAAGGTAAACTTATAGAATTTACATGTTGGTCTAGACTACCACATGTGTAGACTATATGATCTGGCGCTGAGTGGTTGAAAGACCAGAGGCCTGTACTACGAAGGGAGTTTAACCTACTCAGATTTAACTCAGGGATGTCATTAACTCAGAGAAAAGGCAAGGTTGACAAACACTGACTGCCTACATTGGTGTTAAACGGTACTATGATGGTGTCAACTCACAGGAGTTTGTGCGTGTTTGCGTAAAAGGGTTGTGTTCGGCTACGCAGACTTTATAATGTCTTTATAATGTCATAATGGCGCAAGCTTGTTGGCTTGTTTGCAAGACATTGAGTAAATTAATAAGTAACTTTAGACCATGAGTTTTCTTGTTATAATTTTCTATTTTGTCTTATGGATGTACAGCTGCATATTAGGGCCATTGTGGGTTTTAAAAAAATGCAGAGCTGGGGAAGAGAAAAAATCCAAGAACAAAACATAAATGTACAAGGAAATAACTCACACACGCTTCTGCCTTGTATTATGCCTGCAGTGTAAAATCAAATTACAGCCTATGTGGTCAGATTTTTAGCAGGAAAATACTAGTGATTTCAGCCCACAGTCACCATATTTTATATATTTTGAGACATTACCCTGAATTGGGCCTATTCATAAGAAAACAACAAAGTGATGACTTAGGAGTTAACCACGAATATAACCTGCTGGGAGCAGTTTAAAGATGCAGCGTAAATTGCCATGACAGCATACCTGAGAGTAAACCTATCCACCTTTCATGGTATGGGTTAATCGGGAGGTTACACGATAGTGGACATTCCAGCTGCTCTGACTTGAGCTTGAAAATATGTTCGGGATTTGATATCAGTTTACTGCATCGTAATCCAGTACTAAGTCCAAAACGGAACCAGCATTTGTAATCCAACTCCAGGGGCTTTAACAGGTTGTTGATAATAAAGAGAACTGCCATAATATTTACATGTCTGTACACTACAGTTTGTATCTTGGCAACTCAACAGACTTTCAACTACGATGTTGATACAAAATGTTTACTTATGTATTCCTAAAAAAATAGGAGAATGAGCCATCACATGATTATATTTTATTTATTTATATAAAATAAATAAATATAACATCTTGACTTTGCTCCATGTGGCAAACACATGTGGTGAGTTCAAATATGAGTCACTAATTCGTCCAGCACTTCCACCACTCAAAATGAAACAGATTAACACACACAAGAAATGTTTTCAATTAGTGCTAGAAATGATGGGAAACCCTTTTTTGCTGAAGTCAGTCAACTCAGCTAAAATATAAAACCAGCTGAGTGTGAGTGATTAAATGGAAAAAACATTTTTTATTTACATTTAAACACACATGCAAGATATCCAAGTTATAAAAGAATAATAGAGACTTTGTGAAATATGGCAGTTATTTACATATGATTGGACCTACATTTACTGTATGTGCTAGAAAAGGGGGGAATGGGTGAGGTTTAGGGGGGCATTAGAGTCATTGTCAGTGGAGGTCCTGGGCCTTGTTGATGAGGCCAGCTGCAGATGAGAAGAAACTGTTCATGTGCCGTGAAGTTTGGTCCTGATGGACTGAAGCCTCCTGCCAGAGGGAAGTGGCTGATACAGTTAATGACTTTGTCCCTGGCAGTGGCAGTAGCTAAGTACACAGATTACAATTTGGTGACAGTGTAGCTTTCATTTTATGCAATGTGTGAGGACTGAAGTATGTTCTATATGTATGAAATTATATAAACAACTTGATGGTTGGGTTCCTGGAAGAGAGTTGCATGTCCTTTCAAATGAGTAAATTATATATTCTTAGATCTGACTAAAATTATTGAACATATTTATGAGGTTGGGAAGTAACAAAGGGACATTCTAGACAAAGAGCAGTATATCATGGGGATACAGTGAGATTTAATGCTTGGTGTTTTGAATAGTAAAAGGGTCAAGACTGACCAATTGTTGAACGGCCTGGCCCACAGGTCTGGAGAGAGCCTTTGTCAAGTCTGACATACTCACAACATCAGTTTGGAAACTACCAATTAATAATAGCCTGTGTTACAGAGTAGGGCTAATGGCTTTCACCAGGCAAAAGACGCTGTCAAGTTGCATCGTGGGAAGACTAGGACCCAAAGTTTTTGGAGCTTGACCTATAGTTCTTGCTAGTTCCCAACAATTTTTTTTCTAATTTATAAGTTTATTTGTAACTTATTCATACTGCCATGTTTCAGATCATGAACTTGTTTTGTTTCAGCTGACCCAAAGATAACCACAACAACGCCACCAAAGACCAAAACAACAGGTAAGTGTATCTGCATTGATGAATTAGGGGGGAAATAGTGTTAGCATTAAAATTTATATACATGTTAGTGAAGGGTATTGCTTATCTTATCTTACTCTTATCTTAAATTATTAAACTTCCAAGTGTGTGTGAGTGCCAACTGCAGAAACATGCACTTCTTTTAGTTTCTTCTTGCATGAAGCTTTAATACAATATATATAATTTATTTTTATTTTTTCACATTTATGATTAATGATGGTCTGATCTTGCAGAGAGTACCACTGACATTCCCACCACCACAGCCAGTGAGTTCTGCATTTGCATGAATTTGGATGAAAAAAAAAAACTAAAATAATACTAACACCAAACTAATAATAGATGTGTACTAATGATGAAACAGTCTGTCTAGGTCATTTTGTTAGTATGGTTGTAGTAGTGGCAGCAGCAGTCATGTTCGTACTAATGATTAGAAGCAGCAGTGGTAATAGTAAAGGTAGTAGTACTAATATCAAGAGCAGCCGTAGCAATAGTAGTAGTAGTAGGAGGAGGAGCTTTAATGTAATGTAAAGTAGCACCAGCATTCATGATTTTAGTACTAGTAGGCTACTAGTAGGAGTTATGGGTTAAAAGAGTACCAAAATATTTCATTCAAGTAAAAATCATAGTACGTTTTTTTGTGTAAGTGTAAAACTTTGTAAAAATTTACTTTGTTACATGTTAAAAATGGAGTGAGGATAACAAAAAAAGTTGGATCCATCCCAATAAAGGTCATGCAATCACGTTTGACTTGTCCTAGAAGGAACAAGGTGTAACTAATAACAGTGACGATGACTCTGTTCTATTGTCACAGAAACCCAGCACACCTAAATGAGTCTCAGTCGTTATTAATGTTATTAGTTACACCTGTGTTTACATGCCTGCTGGCTCTGCCTGCACTTGGGGAGGGGGGCGTCTGGCTGGCCTGGGGGACTGTCAGCCCTGTTCTCCTGCATTCTTGCTCCATGGCTGCTGTTCTCCCTTAGGGTGGGGCTGTTCTGCATGTGGTCTCGAGTCCTTTGCGCTCTGCAGGGTGCCCTGTCTGCTGGGGTTCTTTCCTGCCTGCCGCCGGGGCCGGTGCGGCGCTGTTGCGGGGTCCCACTCTTACTTACAACCGCATACTGTGACAGACGTGTGTGTGTGTCAACAAGTTATTTATTTAAAGTAATTTTTATTATTCACCTCTTATGACTGTGTTGTTTATTTATTTTGCTTAACTGTTTCTCCTTTTCATTTTCCCTCAGTTGTTTCAGTTATTTGTCTGCTGTTTATTGCTGTTGTTCAGCTAGTTGTCTCATGTTGTAACCCTTTGTTTTCTCCCTAAGCCCACCGCCCCCGTTCTCTTGCAGGTGTTGTCCTCTCTCTGTGGTGTCTGTTTGTGCCCCCCTGTCCGGCGTGGTGACAAATTAACACATAATTAAATAAATAAAAAAGAATACAATGGAGTAAATCTGCCTGGTACAATATGCTATCCAGCTCCTCATACTCTATACCAGGCTGCTCTGGGAGGGACAGGTTAAAAAAAAACAAAGGGTCAAATGATTATGCACAATGTGAAAGGAGTAGCTTGTAATGACGAACCCACTGAGAATTATCACCTGACTCTGTGTTTCCCCTTCCTTCTGTGGAGCTATGAGTGCATTATTTTGTTTTCAGAGCCTACAAATGTCCCATTTGGGTTCACTCTCGCTGCTCTCACCAACCTCTTTTCAGTTTTTCAGTGAGAAAGCTTTGAAAATACTGTATGCCTTGCGATGCAAGGCACGGGCTGCCAGCTAACGTTAGCACGGATCGACCACTGTTCGCTTCGTAGCATTCAATTTAGGTTTACTGACGTTTCACCGATACTCAGGTTCACAGCTTCCCCACCTGTGACATTGACTTTAGCAGTCAATAAAACGTTATCATGCAACCAGCATGGATTAGTTCAACATCAAGCTAATGAAAATATTACTGTGACTTTGCAGTGGGAGTTTCCAGTATATTGTGTGAAGCGGCCTACCGGTGTGTTGGATTTTGCCGACTCACGAGTTTGATCAGGCATAGGACCACACGTCAGGTTGCAATCTAAAAACCGCACCGCCAGTGGCCGCTGAAAACTACATATAGCCTCTTTAATATATGCTGCTTTCCAGTCGCTGGCATGACTAACTGGTACGCCTAATGAAAATTGTAATACATAGAATTGTCTGTTTGCTACTTCCTCCCCTTTGCAGTAGCAGTATAATAGTTGTTCTAGTAGCTTTAATAGTTAGAGCAGCAGAATTTGTGCCTGTAGTTGGGGTTTTAGGAGAAGCACAGTTGTACTATTACAAGAAGTAGAAGTTGTAATAGTTGCCATGATATAAATTTACTAACACTAAATCCTACATGTTTTTTCATATGTTGTTATTAGTTATGTGGCATGTGTAGTGCACTTGTGGAATTGTGCTTACTTACTTACAGTAATTCTGTACCACACAGTGACTCGTAAACTGTGACAGTGGAGTAACAGAGGCGGTATTGATAGTAGAAGTAGTATTAACTGTAGTAGTTGCAATCATGCTCTTAGCAGTATTAGTAGAAGTACAATTCTTTTCTTATCAGCAGCAGCTTCCACCAGCCTACAGATGACCCCGAGTGTAAGCACCTCAGCTTCAGTGACTGCAGAAACACACAGCACAGAGCCAACCTCATCTGGTCTGCAGGACACATCAAATCACTCACAGGGTAAATAGCTTGAAGTCACACACAATACGCTGATTTTCCCAGTTAGCCTCCACAGTATTGATCTCTCGCAGGTATAGTTAGTATATATAAAACTTATAAGAAATGGTCATAAGATTCATGCATACCTTGTCATGATTAAGATTACCCACCAAGGTGAGACAAATGTATTTGAATCACACCTTTCAAAGAAAGTGCTTTACATACAACATGAAGACACATATAAAGATTAAAATAGAGATTAAAATAAGCTAATTTAAAAGAACTGAGAGTTGGAGCAGCAAGTTTTCTGGGACTTAATTCCCAGATTAGCGGTGAATAAAAACTGAATGTATTCGGTTTTCATTCTGGGGAAGCAGATGTGTGCCAGAGGTCATTCAGTGCTTTATGAACCAAATGTAGAATTTTAATTATCGGACACACAGGAAGCCAGTTTAAAGATCTTGTGTTAGAGAGGACTCTGGGAACAGCACTCTAAATCAGCTGCAGACCTATTAGAGAGCATTATAGTAGTCAACCCGATTGAAGATAAACAAGTTTTTCTAAATCCTGCTGAGACATGAGACTTTCAGTTGTTGATACATCCTTAAACTGATATTTGTGTGATTTTGTAATTGTCTTAATGTGGATGTTATTATAGGTCTGAGTCTATGACCAAGATTTCTTGTCTGGTCTGGGGCCTTTAACCTTAGCGATAGAAGTTGAGCACTTTTAATTGTTCTTGTTTGTGTCCAAGGACAATCATTTAAGTTTTCTTTGTTCAACTGGAGGACATTTTCAACTGGCCTCCAATGATTGATTTTGTCCAATGAAAGCACAAATATCCTGTCCTTCAAATATGCTTCAGACCACTGTGCCAGAAGGTCCCACCCAGTTTTCCTAGTAATAACAGTATTGTTGGTAACTGTGTCAAATGCAGCACTGACTGAAAATGTTTTCACTGGCTGTGTTTAAGTGGATATTCTATTCATCTGTAATGTTTATTTTCTATATCATAATGTTACATGGTATTGATTAAGGGTGAAAAGATACGCAATTAGGCTACTGGAAAAATAGTATTTTATTCGACTGAAAGTCACAAAATGGAAAACAATGCAGGTGCATTTTGAAATGTTGCTTACACATAGTTCAGGTCTTCGTGTCTACCAGGTATCCAAAATGCTGCCATTGAACAATTTAAAAGTGGTGGGGACATCTTCTATGCTAATTTCACCCTCACTCCGTCATGCTGATGTCGTAAGACAGCTTTTCACATCAGCGAGAAATATTGTGGTGTTTTAACCCTTTCACGCATAGTGGTCACTGCAGTGGACAGCTATTCAAAAGCCATTTACTTCAATGGGCAGAGGTTCTGATAGTCTAGTTGCACATCAGCCAATACAGTGGACACTAGTGTGTCATGCCATACACTGCCACCCTCTGAAAGTAAGTAAGTGCAACTTAAATTCGTCAAAAACCAAGATGGCCAACGGACGTTCGGGAACACTGTACAGCTCAGGTAAATCTTGCCATTCCTCCAATTATAGGAGACCCCCGCAGGTAAATAAAATTTGGTAACATCTAATAACAACTAAGGAGTAACACAATTGTTAAACTTTCCAAGTATTGATTTAATGTTGGGAGGAAATTAGGATTAATCACCTGTCCACTAAATTGGACATTATGCATTGCTGGCTATATTTCAACTACAATTAACTATTACTGAGACTTTGTTTTTCTTGAAAATACTTCATTTGCACTAACTTTTTTGGATGTAAATCAATGGATTTATGTTACACTTGCAGTTTTTGTAACAAAAACAACATTTTGTCCAGATTAGTTCCATTATGTGAGTAACATTTAGTGTGTTGCAGCAAGTGATAGAAAGGCATTCAGGATAGTGGAGCCAATTCCATCAGAATCAAGTAAGGATAATAGTAGTAGCAGTGATAATGAATGGCTGCCAGAAATAGGAGAAACCCCAAATGCTGGCAGCAGTGATAGTGGAGCTGAGGATGCTGAGAAAGAGAGGCTGAGGAGTCAGAAGTGAGATTCATCACTTTTGCATTGCATTAAACAGTATTAGAATATGTTAAAATACGTGACCACATTAGTTTAACAGCATTAAAAAATATAGATTTCACATAATATATAATTTTATTTATTGGTTTGTTAAATAAATATTTCTGGACATGTAAGAAACTCCTTGAAAAATTTATGTTGCATGCCTAAAAAGCCATAAAAACACAGGGAAAAAATCCTGACAGACGCTGTTATAATTCATGCATGAAAGGGTTAATATCGCGAGATCTCGTCACGCCCCTGGTATAATCCTCCATTTATTCTGTTATTAAGTATTTGTTCATAAATAAATGTCCTCATTTAATCTGTAAGAAGTTGTCTGTGTGTTTTCTTTGAAGCAGGAGATGATGTCAATCTGTTGAAAAAAAAATTTTAAGAGACTAATAATTGAAATATTAATTCATTCTGTTTATTTCCCTGTAAATAGGGAGGTGCACCGTGGGAGTGTTATTAAAGTAGTGTTTACTGGCAGGTTAAGAGGTTTAGAAAGTTGAATTTGTAACTTCTGTCTTAGTTTGCACAACAATAAAAGCAAACATTTTTAGAACTTTGGCATACTTAAGAGCAAATCTTTAGTCTGAGCGACTTCATGAACATCGGCCCTGGTCTCATCTGATCAGAGATATTTATTCTGCTGCTTCCATTATTGGTCTACTCAGCAGGGTTAATCTGTGTGTGTGTGTGTGGTGGTAAAATATGTGTTCTAAAAGCATAGCCAAAACAATACAGAATCCTGCATGGCATTGGGAATATCTTCCTGTACGCACAACTCACACTGCCTTTATCTGCCAATGGAAAACTGTTGACCTATGGGACATTTTGATTAATCTTTCTTTCACTGCTGGAAAAGTAGGTGAGACAAGGACCACAGCAACGGACTGGACAACATCAGCTTCAACCACCACACAGCCTTCAAGTGGGACAAATTGTAGTAGATCCGATGAAAAGGGTAAGCTTTGACACTGTTATTGTACACAATTGTACCAAATCTCCTATGAGAAGAAATCTCATCAAGGGTATTTGTAAATGATGAAAGCTGTACTTGGTATCACTGTGTTTAATAAAATGCACCTCTGTTCTATCCCCTTACTCTCTGCAGAGTAACAGAGACTCAGGAGCATATAGGGAACATTTTTATGATGAGTATTTTTCTCTTATTGGCAGACCCTAACAGCATGACAACAGTGGGAATCAGCTGTGCTTCATTGGTGGTTGTCTGTGCTTTGATCGGAATCATCTTCTTATGTTATAAAAGGTAAGCCAGAAAAAAAAAAAGTTTTGAAAATAATGATATGTGGAATTATGTCACACCACGCTTTCTTTCACATAATGAAAGAACAAAAATTTTGGTGTAACAGTTACGCTGTGGTGAACAAGCACATTTCATGTTTTGTGATAGTTCTATATTGAAAGTGATCAAGTACCTTGGTGAAATTTCCCATTTGCTAATTTTTTATTTTAGCATTTATAGTCACTTCACCTTTTCTTTTACACTGTAGGAGGTCAAAACACAAGATCCCATTGCACACCGCAGAAGAACAGGTACCCATGAATCATGTTCCATCTGCACCGGGGCTGTAGAGTTTGTTCCCTGCGACCTGCAGCGACGGAGGAATCATCTCCATGCCATGAAGAACTGGTTGTTACCTCCACACAGGGCTGGAGATTTATGATCACCTCCCTCTGGCAACCCATTTGAACATTACCAGAAGAAGAAATACCTTCGTTGATGTGAAAGTTGTTTCCCAAGAATTTACAGCTAGCAACCTTTTTCTGAGCAGATCTCAAGACACCTGCAACCAAATATTTTAACTTCACGTAAAGAACTTTAATTTTTAAGACCCTGTGACCATTCGCCTGGTGCTTCATCACAATGAACGTGGGCACTAGTTTATTTTGAGTCACTCCCACATGCACACTGTTGCTGTAAATACTCACCAGTGGACCAAATCTGCCCCAGCCAAAATACAATTTATTCCGGTTTGATTAACGTTTGCTCAAACTACAGTGTCCACCTGTTTTAGGGAATTATTGAGTCCATTAAGATTTAAATCAACTGAGTCGGCCACAGATTCAAGTACACCATTTAAGTACACGTCAGAAGAATTACTAAAAATAAACATAGCAAAGAACAAACAAAAAAATTGTTTGCCTACTTAAAGAGCTAACTTAAAGGCTAGTATGACTAGCAGTAAACTAAACTAGGCTAATTAGCAAACATAACTCACTCTGGCTAGTCTGTATCTCTTTGTAATCATATATCACCTCTTATTTTTGTTACTTAGGTTGACTGACATTGCTGAATAAGAGAGCTGTTTGCATATCCAGCTTCTATTGAGCTGATTTCCCTTTATGAAATGTTTGCTAAAACAACTCTCTTAGCAATTGGTAATAAGCCAGGGGCACTGGCTAATGTCTCCTTCAGTATCTTTGCCCAAACCTGTAGAAGGGTCAGTTCACTCAGACCACAAAAAAACCCAAATCATATTTTGTCACTTAACCGGGGGGTGTAGCTACATAGTTGTATTATCTCCTGAGACTCTAAAATAGCTGTCTCTGAAACCTTTGCTGCAACTTCAGTACAATGGGGATGAACGGAATGAGGTCAGTAGCTGATGGTGTGTTTGCAGATGATTAGCTTACTGGACAGCTGGGCTGTGGTTACAAATTAACCAACCCGGTGTAAAAATAGTGAAGTGTAGAAAAATTTTCTAAATTATAGAATATAACCGTCCCCAGATTGTTGAAACCCTGAAATTCTGAGAATAAATATAAATAAGACACTGAAGTAATTTTTCAGCTTTTCCGCCCTGGATGTGAGTAAGAAGAACCGCACCTAACTGTGGTTTGCGCGATATCTGATGTCAGCCACCAAACACAGTGCTCTGTTGTTTGCTCATGCGTATTTAGATACTGGCCATGTTCAAGCAGAAGGAAGTTCAACACCCCTACTTCCACTTCCTGTGATTCAAGGTCTGCATTTATTGTGCACATTTCTAATCTACTGACCACTCAAAGCACTTTACAACACATGATGGCATTCACACCCAGAGGCTTCCATGTACAGGTGCTGGTCATATAATTAGAATATCATCAAAAAGTTGATTTATTTCAGTAATTCCATTCAAAAAGTGAAACTTGGATATTATATTCATTCATTCCACAGAGACGGATATATTTCAAATGTTTATTTCATTTAATTGTGATGATTAAAACTGACAACTAATGAAAATCCGAAATTCAGTATCTCTGAAAATTAAAATATTACTTAAGACCAATACAAAAAAGGATTTTTAGAAATGTTGGCCAACTGAAAAGTATGAACATGAAAAGTATGAGCATGTACAGCACTCAATACTTAGTTGGGGCTCCTTTTGCCTGAATTACAGCAGCAATGCGGCGTGGCATGGAGTCCATCAGTCTGTGGCACTGCTCAGGTGTTATGAGAGCCCAGGTTGCTCTGATAGTGCCCTTCAGCTCTTCTGCATTGTTGGGTCTGGCGTATCGTATCTTCCTCTTCACAATACCCCATAGATTTTCTATAGGGTTAAGGACACAGAGCTCTGTGAACAGCCAGCCTCTTTAGCAATGACCTTTTGTGTCTTGCCCTCCTTGTGCAAGGTGTCAATATTCGTCTTTTGGACAGCTGTCAAGTCAGCAGTCTTCCCCATGATTGTGTAGCCTACAGAACTCGACTGAGAGACCATTTAAAGGCCTTTGCAGGTGTTTTGAGTTAATTAGCTGATTAGAGTGTGGCACCAGGTGTCTTCAATATTGAACCTTTTCACAATATTCTAAGATACACATTTTGGGGTTTTCATTAGTTGTCAGTTATAATCATCAAAATAAAAGGAATGAACACTTGAAATATATCAGTCTGTGTGGAATGAATGTATATATTATACAAGTTTCACTTTTTGAATGGAATTACTGAAATAAATCAACTTTTTGATGATATTCTAATTATATGACCAGCACCTGTATGCTCACCAGGGGCGGTTAGTGGGGTTTGAGTGCACTTTGACGCTCTCTCTGGAGGAGGCGGGGATCTTCCAATGTCTAGACAGCCACTCTGCAATTTTAGCCTCTGTAAATCTACACAAGTTAATCTTTTTGTTTTGGATATTGTCTCAAACTGAAAATTAAATCTTCCCCTTAATTAGTTTCCCCATGATGTAAAATGCATACCCTGGAAGCAGTTCTTGTTTTTTAGTAATACATGTAAAGCTTCCATATTATTTCAAAGCTTCACCTGATATTTATAGACAGCTTGATGTTTAATACTGTGATTTACTTTTAATTTTATTCAACTTTCTCATTTTCATGCAAATAATTTTTGTTTTTGTTTTAATTTTTCACTGAACAATTTCCATTGAAACCACTCATGACATTGAACATCACGGGTCAGCAGCTTAAGGATTTATTTAGTGGCTCATCCCTTTTCTCATTCCTCAATGTATGCTTGTATTTGGTGTTGCTCTCTCCTGTCTGTTTGTATGATAATAAAAATATTTTTCAACATTAGTCCAGTGTTGCAAATTAAGGACTCAATGAATCTACAGATGCTGACAATAGAATCAACTTAGTCAAAACTGTGTGGACACATCTTGTCATAACATTGTCTTCATACATCTGTTGGTCTCTTCCCTTGAATGACGTTCTTTGACTTCACTTAATTTCAAAAGTAAACTTGATGAATACAAAACCACTTGTTCAGCAACAAGTCCAGGCAGCCATATTATTCTCCCACTGTTCTGCAGACTGACAGCTGAGCACATACGCCAGTGTTGATAGACTTCCAGTCAGGATACAAACATAATGTAACTGAGCCTTTTCATTGTATTACAAGTGTTGGTTGTAATCAAAGATCTTACTGATGAAACAAATCTCTCTTTGCCCAGGGAAGCCTCTTGAACATGACTTAGTACTTTAATAATTAATTCTCATTTTCATCTTATGTACTGGAAAGCGTTTGTGGCATTTTCCCCATGACTTGAAATATTGTTTGGCAGCGTTTCCACTTTGTAATCTCTAGCAGCTGTTTGGCAGGCAGGCGTTTGTGGATTGTCCCTGCTACACTCACTACAAAGTATTGTTAATGTCAAACCTACTGATGAAAAGAAAAGGTCTCTCTTGTTAACTCCTTTTAATAAAATGATTAAGCCATAAATAATTAATTATAAACTGGCAAAGAGTCAAAAAAATTGTTGCTGCCAAACGCCCAAAAATGTTTGTTAGATTTGATTGAATAAGAAAGATGACCATAAAATGTTGTTTGGTTTCTTTTTAAGTAAAAGTATAGTACAAGTAAGTGGGCCATTAGTTGTCTTTTTTTTGTAATAAAAACAACATGCTCTCCAGTAAAACCTCAGCCCTCTACCGACAGCCACAGGCTGTTAAAGGATAATATTGGTATTTTTAACCGTGGACCCTATTTTCACATATTTGGTATTGAAATAACTTGCAACTACAAAAAGTTTTGGAATCCTTGCAGTAGACTTTTTCAGCTGGTAGGCTTTGAAGCAGCTGCAGTGGTTGCAATGTCTTTCTTAGGCGCAATTGTGCCTGTCACAAATTATGTCCACAAAAAGTGTTTCTTTGCCACACACAGGCTCCGACTGTTGTTAACAGATGTCTGGGAAAAAATAATCACAGAAAGGATCCCCATGAGTGACTATTGTTTTTAACAACAGACAGAAGTCTCGCTCAAGTACAAAATCTCCTGAGATTCTGGAATATCTGGCTCTGAAGCGTTTGCTGCCACTTTAGTACACTAGGTTGAAAGCACTACAAAAAAACAAACAAACAAACAAAAAAAAAAAACACACACCACATTTTAAAAACTCAACAAGCAAGTTACTTTCCAAATACAATGTATCGGGTAACCAGGCAGGGCTGTGGTCACAATTTAACTAGTGTAGAATAAAATGTCCGGTCAGGTTGTTGAAACCCCTGAAGTTCTGAGAATAAAATAGCATCACTTTCTGGATATATTTTTATCAGCTACAGCTGTTCCACACTGGATGTACCACCCCCGCCTGCGGTTAGATCATTGTCATCATCGGTCATTTTCTACCCACTATTATGCCATTTGCTCATGCATGACTTAGACATTGGCCATGACTACAGTTGCATGATGAATGTTCAAACAGAAGGAAGTAAACACCCCCACCTCTCTCGATCCATGGTCTGCATTTCTATTGGGCTTAGTCTGCATTTCTATTGGGCTTTTCTAATCTTGCTAAAGGACAATTCTCACTCTGAAATCTCGTGAGGCGAGTTGTTGCCGGAAAAGGACAACGTTCACGTTTCCGCCGTCGTCTTCCTGCAACAACACACCTTTTACAAGATTTCGGAGCGAGACTTCAGTTTCTTGTTACAAAGGGTGTCACTTGTAGGGATCCTCGCCGTGATGTTGTAAGACACCTCATATAAAAGCCTGAGCCTGTCAGTGGCAAAAAGAAACACTTTTTGTGGTTTTAATTTTGACGGACATAACTGCACCAAAGGAACACCTTGCAGACTAAAAGTCATTTTTGACACCCAAATTTGTGAAAATAGGGTTTTAAAATACCAAAATGATGATTTAAGTGTCTTCTTATTACAACATCCACGTCCCTCAGGGAGAAAAATACAAACATTAAAAACACACCCTATAAACGCACTATTCTCTGTAGTTCAGTCCGTTTCAGTGTTTCTGGGTGGCCGTACAATGGACATTATTCCTGGCTGTTCATGTCCTGGTTAGCATTTTAAAAAGGTGACCTCAAAGTCCTTTTCCAACAATGCACAGAAGCGGTCTTAGAAGAGCGCCAGGAGCATCACATGGTGGTCCGGCGGGCCGAGTCTTCGTGGTATTTCAGCCATTGAGAGCACGTCGTCAGTCATGAGGAATGCAGTTGGCCCAATACGTGTCCACACACACCTCTCGCACAATGGGCCACCGGCAGACACGCCATCAGTCTGGACAAAGATGAACGAGGTCAACAACAAAAACTGTGCTGTACACAACTGAAAGACAATAGTATTTGGAGGCATTAGAATATTGGCTTGTTAGATCTCTGTGTGGGTTTCATATGTTCTTACGCATTTCAGCTGCCGCTTGCACATGGTGAACGCCGAGCCGGGTGTGGTGCAGTTGGGGCAGTCTGTGACAGCGCACGGGAGAGGCTCGCCCGCTGTCTGCAAGGAGCTGGGCATCTCCGACGTCAGGAAGTATTCCTAAAGTTGATGATGTGGCGGTGAGAGGAAATGGCAGACACTTTTTTTTATCAGGATGTGATTAGCAGGACAAACAGGATGCGCGATAAGCCTGTCAGACTGCCCCTGGGTCACATTTGGAGCATATAAATCTGCTGGACAGAATAAAAGAGCAACTTTGCCAAGTAATACACTAGCCTAGCCACGCAGGTATTTCTTTTGGAGACAGTTTTTTTTTGTCACACCCACTTCATTATACTTCCTGATCACTTGGGCCCACTTCACTTAGCGCTTTTTGTCTGGGAAGAATTTGGAAGAACCACTTTAAGGCCACTTTGCTGTGCTTTCCAACTTGACAGAGGGGCCAACTGTCCTTCAAGTATATAACAACTGGGGCAGAATACACTCCAGAGTGTCTGTGTTATCTTGCAGAGGCATGCAGTGTTTCCCCCTACATGGAACCCTACAACAGGCCAACACACACAAATGCTGAC